GTGGCTCAAACTTGGGCCCTCCAGGTATGGCCATGTTGAGTGCTTTGGCCGTAAAGAAGCTCTTTGGATCAAACAGATAAAAGAAATTATTGTCAACCAAGTCGGTGAGCAACTGATTTGCCAGACGATAAAGCGTAGCCAGCTGTGGCAACGACAGATTCCATTTGCGGTAAGTTGATCCATTTACAAAGCTATAAGCAAGAATTGAGTTTATTTCATTGGAATTTGTTTTGTTTGTTTTTATAGCTGTTCTGCTTACGGTGTATCGACTAATGGTCTATGATCGTAGAACCATTTGTATACAGCATTATCTTCATCGCTGTCCAGCTCGATTTGTATGGCCTCCAGGGGCTCTACATCCAGCACGTTGTCTGCGTAGTCCAATGGCGGCTCCTCGTCGTCAAAGGGCGGGAAACGCATGCGCTTAAAATGACGACGATCGCGCTTTTCGCGACGCATCATAATCCACATTGTGCTGTAAAATGTGACCCACTGATAAGCTTAATTTAGATAGAAGTTACATTAGTGAAACTTACCCCCATTGTGCTATGTAGACGGGCTCAATTACCCAGGGAATTTCATTGACAAAGGTAATGGCGCCTGTTATGTGGTACAGCACCTGCACATCTCTTATTTGCTCCCAGGGCATAGGCATATTCTCGAGCAGCTTCAGCACTGCATGTGGCATATATTTGAGTGCGCCCAGATAGACACGCTTATCATGGCGATATTTGCGAGAGGTCATATCACCGTGATCACGTATGATTTTCCGTATATGTTCCGGCGGCATATCCTCTTTCTGTGTATCAACAAAACCGAATTTGCGTTTTTCAGCAAATCGCTTAGACTGCAAATGCTGCCACTTGAGCGCCTTCTCCTGCAGTTTTTCTTCGGTCAGAATATCCGGCTTTGGAGTAGGTATCTGACCTAGCTGGGGCTGAGGCACTCCCTGTGCCGGTACTGGAATGCCATTGGCATGACCCGCAGGGGGCAATGGAGCCCCCGGTGGGGGTATTTGCTGTATCTGGTTGGCCATCTGATGCTGGGCATGCAGCTGTGCCTGCTGTGCATGGGCCGCCGCATATGCCTGCTGCTGGGCCATCAGTTGGGCGGCCCAAGCATTTGGCGGTATCATATACGGCGGTATAGACATCGCTCAGTCAACTTCAAAACGGTAAATAAAAATGTATATACATATTAATTATAATGAAAAAAAACTATACACACGTTCCGTTTACGCGGAAAAAGAAGCAGAGAGCAGCAGCAGACGTCGCCGCGTTTTGCTATTTTCACCACAGCAATTTTAACGCAAAGAATGTGCGCCGCTTATAAAATTCCGCATTTAAACTAATTAGAAAACATGTATACATTAAATAGTTACCTATTTCAACAATTTCAAGGACTTTTAATGGGATTTTTAACAATTTTCCGGTTTTTCTTGCAAAACGTTTACGATGCGGCAGACATTTTTCAGAGATGACCCGATATTTTTTGCAAGTCAACATCGATAGGCGATAGGTTGACCGGGCCCAACTAAAACAAATCGATATTTAGACGTTAGTCAAATATGAACTTAGAATCGATTTCAAAACAAACAATAATAAACTAAAGAAATCCCCCAACCATGTTCTAATTGTAATAATGAATAAGCAGTAAGTTTATTTGTATTGCTTATTAGAACCTTTTTGATGTGTAGTGCGTCAGTATATTTACTTACTGACGAATTACTGGAATTTTTCGACGTGAAGCGGAAAACACGTTCTCTTAATTTAGTGATTAGTTTTAATTATTGTATGAACTCAGAAACAAAACAATTTTTGTGTAATATGTGACCCTGGTGCATATGAATACAAGCATTATAAAACAAACAATTCACACGCAATTGACGACTTCTCCAGACTTATGTTTGACCAATCAATGAGCATCATATGAAAAATCAATCTCCGGCTATTTATTTTTTTGCGCACTATATAAAAGATCTGCTCCAGGTTGTCGGACAGCACAGTTCAATAACAACAGCGCTACCAAACAGAACCCACATTTGAGCGAAAGGCGTTAATTTGCTAAGAAAAACAACAAAATTCTATTGCTAGATTTCACAAATACTACGAGTAAATATTAACAATGGCAAAGGTAAGAGTTCTATATAGAAATATAACTACCATATTCATTTACTTAACTATGCTCTATTTCTAGTTTTTGATTGGATTTCTATTTTTGACTGTTCTAGTCATGTGTGCACAAGCGGCTCCCTCAGAGGTAATTAAATCTTTTCAAATTAATGTCTTTTATTACTCTTAAATATTTTATTGATTACTTCATTTTAAAATCAATTTTATTTTTATTATCTAACTGTTTTTAGTTTTAAGTAATTTAGATTATTTTTGTATTTAATTTTAATTAATTTGTTTATTTATATTTATTATATTTTTA